TTACATCAAAACAGTATTATACCTAATTATTTAAGGTTGTAAATATTTCAGTCGTTGTTCTGTGGTTGTTCAAAAAGATATACATAAGGCTTTACCATATTATAACATTTTATATTTTTAATGACATTTTTTCAATACTTAATGACAAAATGTAATTGTTTCGCGAATAACTAATATCGCTCAATACTGGTAAATCATGCATTTCTTAAATGCTAGGTTGTCAGTAAAAAGCCGGGAATGTGGTGCGTGCCATACACTAATGGCACATATGTTTCGGGGCGAGGTAGGAATTATTTGTCAGTACCCGAATTGTAACGAATCTTTATTGACTTGACGACTAAACTAAATCGTCGGATACCCACGGTTGATTTATATGTATAACTGTTCTGGCGTGGGTATCCGACGATGCTTAACCAATTGTAGAAAGCACGTTGGAAATTTTAATGGGCATATCCATCTTTTTTATTATTTCTAAATAAGTACTGGCTGAATAAAGGCCAGCACAAACCGTGATCAGACAGAACGTTATATACGGCCTGATCTTGGTATGCACTGGTCCAATTGCCGCCAACAGGCTAAGATTTGTTAAACATAAAGTGTAATATAAATGTAAAACGCATGTTTTTGCGAATAAAGCTGAAAAAGCAAACATTGACATCGCAGTATCACACAAGCGGAATAGAACACTAAATGTCATCAAATAAATACAAACATAAACACAAATCTGTTCATGATGATCCATATACTTTTGATATTTGATGTATATGAACAACTGATCAATGTTCGTGAATCACAGAAAGTGTTTTTGTCACTTTGGAGTCGTCTTGATTTAAATCTTCTAATCTCATTGCAGCAGAAGTACTAGCTACCCAGTCTGATATCCATAAATGTTTTTCATTCGATAATGTGATTTCCTGTGGGGATGGTCTTTTTTCTGGAATTAAAGCACTAAGATCGTTTATGTTTGTTGTTATTGGACTTTCACTGGCCCTTTCCCGCGCTTTTGTTGATTGTACAATATCGTTATATTTTGCGTAAGCAGCAAACGTGTTCGTCTGCCTCTGAGTGAGGTATCCCCTGTGCGCCGAGCGCCTGTCCGACCTTGATGAGTGTTCTCGTTCGGGGTTAGATAAACGGGCACTATTTGAGAACACGTTTGCCGAGTTTGTATCACGCCGAAATGTGGACTGACTACTCGGTTTACGGGTTGTCGTTAATGAGGAGTTCGTCTGACGAGAAATGTTTGATTGTCGGTTGGGCTGGTCAGTAGCCAGTTTAGGGAACGTGGGAATTCTCTTCCGATGCGAATTCCTTTCAGGAAATGATGTCCTAAAGGATGTATTTATCACAACTAAATGCGACGAGCCCCGAGTTTGGGGTCGTTCCATTTCGAATGCAGTTCGTGGAGTAATTTGTAAGTTCGTAACTGTGAGTGATCTTTCAGGGGCATAGCTCTGAATATATGACGTAGTAGGCTTTAACCGCAGTCTGTGAGCGTAAGGGTGCCCTCCTCCGGTTTGATGATATTGAAACTTTGACATGTTGTCTGTCGGCTTCCGTGCGGATTTCATTGTAACAAATATATACCATAGCACATTATAAACATACTCCAAATATGCTGTTTATTTCAAATCAAATAAAATCCATGTTTTTAAAGAAAAAAAACAACAGTTGTTGTAATTCCAGTTTATGTGCTTAGCTAATTTCCTAATGATTTTTCAATTTGTTTCAAGTTAAATCCTTTAATATATCAGTAATTGTCTAAGTGTTTGTACACTTTAATAATTTATATTTTTGTAAGCATACAAATTTTATGAATAAGTTTAATGACGGTACTTATCTTCCACATCTAAGCTGACACTATGACTGAAGGAATCAATCTACTATACTGTACTCTAGGCGAAATTTGCGAGTTTTTAATTTCTGATAACTACCATGCATAAGTATAAGATTTGCGATACATTATATCTATTTAGATATTTAACATAATCCAATCACACAATGTTTGCATCAGTGTAAAATACTTCACGATGGTCACTGAAAATTTGTCCGAGCTAAATAATTTACATATCCAGAAAGGTCTGCAATGAGAAAATTGTATATAATTCATAATTAATCAAGGGTCCTGTAACCTTCATTATGTCTGTCATTAATAAACATTTCCAAACTTTTTTATTATATCATAAATAAGTAAAAAAATGAAAATTTGTTTTAAAATATGTGTACATATCCTTAAAAGACGCCCTTGTATAACGAATGCGTAATCAAAAAAGGCATGATTTTCCTTATCAAATTGTACCTATACGAAATGCTATAACTTGAATATTGCTAGGATTAATTGCTAATAACTCTCGTTATGTTAACACGTACATTTATACAGTTTGATAGACTTGTAATGCCAGTCATGACTTTTATTCGTTTAACTATATAGAGATCTCGGCAAAAATAATGACATTCCATAATTTCACGGCTTTACGGTAAAAAAGTTACCAATTTTGATACACATCTGGACCTTGACACACGGTAATATTGAAGGTTCTTCATAAAGCTAAACAATTCAATCGATCTAAACCAGCGATCATCTCCCTAGATTATATAGCTTTATTTGATATATACCTCGGATAAATAATTCATTGTATATCTAACTTCTGACCCTTTACTTCTTGTAATTGGAATAGGACACCGATTGTGTACTGGTGTAAACTGATCAAAAATAATGTGCAGTACAAACAAATAAAATGGTTTTTACCATTATCTTATAAAAGATTAAATGTCTTTGTATTTGTAAGTGATGTTATGTTCTGTTAAAAATTTTAATGGCTATTTTTTCATCACTATCTCGGCATTTTTTAAAATAGTTGTTGTTTTTTTTTTCAATGAAATAACCGGATAGATAAACATATTCATAATGATAACGTTGTTACGCTAATAATGTACTTTTTGATTTTGTTTGCTTTATGTTGTATGTAAAATGGAGTGATGTAGTAAAATTAAAAAATTATTTCAAGATACTCTTCATCACTTATAAATTATAAATTATAAAAATGTAAGAGTAATAATTACCTACATTGTATCCTTGCTTGGCAGATTTAGATTTCAAAATGACAGATATACATGCGACTTCTTTCCAGATTTACCACATCCCTGTATTATTCAGAAACAGACACTGCTAAGATCGTGTGGCGACTCAAACACAGTCGGATATGTTAAAAATATATACTTACCATCCGTCTGTTTTACACCGACTTTTATATACGAAGCGTTTGAGGTTAGATCGTGCCTATATTAATTACAAACCGACACAGCTAAGATTGTGTGGCGACTTTCCCGATTGACCGTGCCCCTGTATTATTTACTAACCGGCACTGCTTAGATCGTGTAGCGACTTTCCCGATTGACCGTGCTCCTGTAATATTTACTAACCGGCACAACTAAGATCGTGTAGCGACTTTCCAGATTGACCGTGCTCCTGTATTATTTACTAACCGGCACAACTAAGATCGTGTGGCGACTTTCCCGATTGACCGTGCCCCTGTATTATTTACTAACCGGCACTGCTAAGATCGTGTGGCGACTTTCCAGATTGACCGTGCTCCTGTATTATTTACTAACCGGCACAACTAAGATCGTGTGGCGACTTTCCCGATTGACCGTGCCCCTGTATTATTTACTAACCGGCACTGCTAAGATCGTGTGGCGACTTTCCAGATTGACCGTGCTCCTGTATTATTTACTAACCGGCACTGCTTAGATCGTGTGGCGACTTTCCAGATTGACCGTGCTCCTGTATTATTTACTAATCGGCACAACTAAGATCGTGTGGCGACTTTCCCGATTGACCGTGCCCCTGTATTATTTACTAACCGGCACTTCTTAGATCGTGTGGCGACTTTCCAGATTGACCGTGCTCCTGTATTATTTACTAACCGGCACTGCTTAGATCGTGTAGCGACTTTCCAGATTGACCGTGCTCCTGTATTATTTACTAACCGGCACAACTAAGATCGTGTAGCGACTTTCCAGATTGACCGTGCTCCTGTATTATTTACTAACCGGCACTGCTTAGATCGTGTGGCGACTTTCCAGATTGACCGTGCTCCTGTATTATTTACTAACCGGCACTGCTAAGATCGTGTGACAACTTTCCCGATTGACCGTGCTCCTGTACGGCTTTCCATTTTACGTATATAAGCGCGAACGTAAGTAGAACTTCCCCGTACTGTCATTGATCATATTTAATATAGGGTAAAGCTGTACTATCTTTTATAGTAGGCCAATACACTTATTGGTAAGTCAAATGAATAAAGACTGAATTGAACTCCATGCTCTATCATGCTACCCAGACTTTTTTCATATTTTTTTCATTTTTTGTTTGTTCATCTTTATACATTTCTAATAATATTGTCTTTATCGTCTTATCGCTTTTTCATGCCACTGGTCATACTCCAACTTTACACATGTGTACACAAAGTTATTCTATTTCTGACAGTCAAGTATTTGAAAATTAATAGGCCAAACTGGTTTCAGTACTATTTAACACTAGTAATGCGTACGTAGGAAACGGATGACCCCGCATTTCACTGTCGGTCTACCGGACAAGGGCGGACAAGGGCACATCTATGTGAACATTAAGATTTAACTTTACTACTATATAATTCGATATTGAGACTGCATTATTCATTTTTGCAACGGTAGCGTAGCACTACTCCCATATAAACGGTTACGGTTCTTATGTAATAAATTCTGTATATTTAGACACTGGTACGATGTTACAGAGATGGTGTTCGAAATTATGAACATTTTAGGAATCTTAAAGAATAATGAATTCTTCAATAAACCGAATCCTCCCTCTCGTAGAACCGGAAGACAAAGTGTCATGCCATGGTGCTCAGAAATGGATCATCATGGTTCACCATATTTTGATTCGAAAGGGATTTTTACGTCCTGTTGGCGAGGTTACTATGCACTTTTCTTAAGAGATGATAACTAAGACAACTGTATATATATACATAAGCATCATTTATTCAACAATTTGCTTTTCTTAAAATAATGTAACATAAGACAACCGTATGTACTCAACCATTTCTATCGTTTTCTTTCTTAAAAAAGGAGTAAAAATAAAAATAATAATTTGCTTTATGATAAGCAAAATGATCTTCTAAAAATCTCTAAAAGAAATCTTAAAAACTTACTAAAATATGTTTGTTAAAATGATTCCAGTTTTTCCCCTAGGTTTCTTCTATATATACACCACTGTACATCGTTATTAATTACATATAGCACATAAATATTTCTCGTAGCACATTTATATACAATTCTACAAAATGTTCTACAAAATTTCAATTTTATTGTTAGATGGCACGCCCGTCTCGGTATCTGTCGTAGAATAACTGTAATATTTGAGTCCCAAATCCTGGCGTTCTTTCTCACCATTGTCACTTTGTAACTGACTGGTTACTTCATAACTTGGGTAGGCAGCAGTGTTATATTGTTGAGTGTAATCATATGTGGGTTGGGGATAGCTTGTCATTCCCATTGGTGTATGTTGCGTTGTTTGGTAATGTCCAAGTGTATTGTAATACGAAGCAGACGGCATTTGGTAGTGTCCATTGTACGCATGCGCGTAATCTGCCATTTGCTGCTGACGGACTAGTCCAGTTGTGTACGGATGATAATTAACATACGATGGCGTCATTTTCTGATACGATATCTTTCTTGCTGTATAGTCTGCTGTAGAATCCTCGGAGCTGATGCCTCGAATTGTTTTCTTTGCTCTCCTGCGGGCTTGACGACGCCTGAAGTCCCCGCTTTTAAAATCTTCGATACACGCTGAATGAATTCCCCACAGGTTACCCTTACCAGCTGAAAAAAAGAACGATGATCTTGCTTACTAACATAATTGCAAGTATTTTGTATATATCAAAATGTCTGTTTTACTGGTGTTTTTACTTATTATTTGCACTTGAACTGCTTTCTTCACCAGTATGATGCATCAAATGAATCATGTTTATGATTATTAAGCCAAACTCTTCGTAACGTTTTGGCGTCATCTCTATTGGCGTCATGCGACGCTGACATTCTGTTTATTGTGTATTTATTTATGTATCCTGAATAAGGCTGTTTAGTCGCAAGGTTTGTATATAAGGGAATTTTAAATCTAATAAAAATAATACTAATACTTTTTTATACTATTTATAATTATAAAATGTATGTATAATTGACATGAATGCCTTGCAAGTGAGCTTACCTAGTTCATCTTTTCCTACTTTAATGAAGCATTCGTTGATACTAAGGTTATATCTAATACTGTTTCTCCATGCTTTCTCCTCGTTATTATAGTAAGGGTGATTATCCATGATGTGCCGATAGATGTCGCCTAACGTCATTTTCATATCACGTGAGTCTAGAATCGCCATCGCAATGAGAGCAATATAAGAATGTGACGGCTTGTCACTCGAGGTTGTCTTCTTTGATGTCTTTATCTTGTCTGCTTTTTTCTCAAGCTCCCTCAAACTCTGCAAAAATAATGTCCCAACAATTACTACAATGCTAATTTACCTTGAACAGTTTAAACATAATGTCAAAATTGATGGATTTAAAATGATCAAAGCCTGAATCTTCCGTAAGCTTAGCACAAACATTGCACAGTACATTGTATATTACTGATTCTAAAATCATCTTTTTATGTAGACCGTATAGGGTTTGACTTGCAAAGCTATAAGAAAGTGTATTTTTTGAACATACATCAATGAAACTTTTCGACTTACCTTTTTAACATCTTCATTTGTATAAGTGGATACTGGCGAATTGTCAGATTCTATCCCACTGTCTTTATTAGGAGATGGTGTTGCTCTTTCTAGAGTATAGTTGTATACCATGCCGGTGTTGATGTCTTTAGGTGAGTGTAACGGGGAGACGTCACTTCCGGATGAAGTTCCTGACGGAGACGTTTCATCACAAGTTGTTGAGACGAAGCTTGAGTCAATGACAAGTGGTGAAGATTCAGTACCGACATCTGTGTAGCTAGAGTCTATGACAAGTGGTGACGTCATTTGTTTATGTGTAGAGATATCTGTGGAGGAGTGTTCTGTGTCCTTGTTGATGACACTGTAAACATCTTCCAAGTGGAGACTGGTGTGCAGAAAGTTGGAACCAATGTGTGTCAGTAGACCATCATGACTGCTTACATGTATCTGAAAGAAACAAAAATTGAATTCTCATTCAATAAGCATAATTATGTGTTCATGTTTTTGGTCATTTCTTGACTGGCACCAGAGTTCTTAAATATTCATAAATTGAAAACAAGTAATACCCATATAACATAAGCTGCCCGAAATATTATCAAGAATTTTTTGTTATATGGGCCAGTGAAAAAAATTTATTCAAAACTAAATCATTCGCAACAACTGACACTGTCACACAAGAGATGATTAAACGTCTGTAGCTGAGTAAAATAATTAAGTATTGCAAACAATTTTGTTGTTGAATTTATGTATGTTATAAGTATTATTTTTTTGCAAGCACTGTCTAATATACTGTTTATATGTTTATGTTGTCTTGGCCATATTCTTCACTATGTAATTGTTATATTGGCCAAAGGCATGATATTATGCCGATTTGCTAAATAAACTGAACAGAACTTATTGATATTTGATTCATGACAATAACAAACAGTTTTTAGTTTTGTAAGTATAGGACCAACCGTTGTACAATAAAAGAGACTATAAATTTCCATACCTGAGCATCTGCCGTTACTGTGGGGTCCTGGTACGAGCTGTCTGTATTCCCTGTCAAATATTCAATTGTGAATCTCTGCATTATGACCAGATTTCTAATACGCTTAGTTCCACAAAATTAAAATTTAATATGCACACTGTTTGATTGCTTGTTTTGAATGAATTATTGTTAAGCTATAACTGTTTGATATTGTAACTGTTTCCTTGCATATATTTATATCACCCGTGCAAACATTTGAGTAAATTAATTCAGACAAATCACTTCATTGAAACTCGCCAACTAGCGGTTAATTACTCGTCTTTGAGTGAACACCTTTCACGTGCACGCTAAGCGACAAATAGAATGGTCCGGCCTTCTAACCGTTATTTTTCACACCTTTTGATAGCTGACTGATTTTGAGTGATTATTGCGGCGAATACAATTTTTTTTGGAATCGTTTTATGGTTTGTTTCTATTTCAATTTTGTTATGCATTTCATAAATAAGAATCTGAAGCACAGTTAAATATTCCTGTTTACAAGTAAGTATAATGAGTTAACACGTATAAAAAATTAGCTAGCTTGCCACATCAGCACATAATAAGATGTAAATGATTTTTCCACTTTTAGATTAGCATTAATTAACATGAAGTTTAAAGGCTTGAAATGTTTTTTCATCATATTCTTAGAGTTTCATGCAAAAATTACATTAATTAACTGGTCGGCAAAGTATTTAACTGATCAGACATTCAAGGGAGATAAAAAATTTGAATATTTCTTTACGAGTAATACTAGTTGCATCCCCTTAAAAAGTTTAACAACCTGTGCCGCACATATTGTGGTTTTTGCTCGCGGTAGATCTTTAAGCAATTCTTACAATAACATGATAAAGAAAGGACTATTTTTTTAGGTAACAAATAAAAATGAAGAATAGGACCAGGTGTTCAGTTAATGAAACATGTTTCTATGGTGATGTCATCTGATGTTAGGTATTAGGTTAGATGGTCACTGGAATGTGCATAGTCACTTTCTTCGTAGAGGAGTACACACGGTCACTTGAGTTCAATATTTAAAAAGTTGATCTATAGAAACATACAGTTGCCCAATTTTCTTGGCCATATGGAAAAGTATAAAAATAAAAACATTTCCAATACATAAAAATCTTTAACGAAGCAATGGCCCCGAAGTACAGGAAATCTTTTTACAGTAATGTTTTAGAAATAAGGATAAAAGTTATTAATTTAACACTTAACTATTTAACATAATATAACAATTTCTCCGCATCATTTTCACAATCCAACAACAGTTTCTTATATCATTATGCCTCGGAATCAAAAAAATATTTTCCTTCTTTTAAAAGGGCAAATTTGTTTTTATAACGTTTAAATAATGGTCTTAGAGCACGTTAGATTTTAATCACCGGAAGGAAATAGCGCTGAAATGTGAAATGAATTGCATACTCGTAATGTAAACAAAGTAACTTATTTTGACTTCTATACAAAATAGTAAAACACTGTAAATGTACTACATTGTAATTGCCATAAGGAATCAATATCAAAAGATGGTTTAGTTCAGTGAGTAGTTTTTCGCACAGACGCTTGGGGGTCAGACCCTGCCCCCAACGTGATACGCCCCTGTAAACTCTCTATCAAAAATATTTTAATATTTAAACACGAATGGGACATCAGTTATAAAGATAAAACTGGTTTTCAAAGAATTTTTACATATATGAAAAAACCTTTCACCATACATCAAGTCTCAATAAAGTACTTTGATCATAATTTATCCCATTTTACCTTAATTTAGGGACTTCTTTAATTATTTTTCATCAAATGGATTCAATGGTATGACCACGGACATTATGTGTATGGTTGTTCTGCCTGTAACAGGAAATAAATAGCATGATGGTCTATGAAGATACTATGTGTCTAAAATAACCACCGGTTTCTAATGTTCTTGTTTGTAGAGAAAAAATGTGTAACAAAAGTTAAAATAATTTGAAAATTTTACAAGCGATAAAATATTTACTTAAAGGGACTCCACTGCGGTATTTTTACATGGCGGGACTGAATTATTTTTCGACTTTAAATTTCCATTTGATGTAGGTCTAGAACAAAAACTTGTGTGCAAAGTTTTAGGCCATTAGCTCACTATGTTCACTAAGAATAATAAATCTAAATGTGAAAAATGACCCAAATTTTGCTCAATTTGGTTAAAGAATATCATAAAAATACGACTTTCAATTTATTTCTGAGTTTATATCTTTAATATCTTTTGCATATCTTTCTGTTTTAAGTGCCAAAGTTATATATATTTTAGGCTTTTGGACCTCAGTGGAGTTCCTTTAAGTACTTGAAAGACGTTATGAAGACATTATTTAAGTGGTTTACACTTGGCTGTTTTAGTTGTTATTAAATATCGAATTTGAGAATTCACATCTTGTTTAGATGCATATTTGAATAAGAAAGTATAAATTATTTGATTTTCGTATTTATAATTGTAATTCCTGAAATCACCGTCGAGTACGAGTAATATTCAACTCGTCTGGCCTCAAATTAACTAATGCGTTTATAAAGTGTTCTCTCACAAAAACACAGCGTTGAAGATTCCACTATTAAAACAATCATTGTACCACCTTCAAGACAGTTTTCTTGCATAAATATGTATTTGCGTGCGAGCGTATTTGTGCGTGCATCTGGCGTGCGTGCGTGTATCTACAAGTAATAACCTTGTTGTGTACATGGGAAACATGCTCAAAATGTATGTTATTAACGTAATATTATGTGTAGAATGATACTTGCATGTATACAATCTTAAGATTTGACCACCATACACACAATAAAGTAAAAAAAAACATAACAACACGTGTAAAAGCTAAACCAAAGTTTCACAATGACCCCAGCATGCCTCCAGATGAGCCAAAAATTTCGATAAAATCAACCCAAAGAAAACTGTACTAAGATATTAAAAAAAGCAAAAAATATGTACAATTCAAGTAATAATTTACATATTACATGCAATGAATGATTGATTTTGCAATATCTATCACCATGTTTCTATTTCGTAACTAACGCAGTAAGGACATTTTTTGCATATTTGAACATATGTTTGGTAATTTACGTGGAAGCGAAAAATCAACTTCTCTTTTTTTCCCTTTTCCATACGTTTACATTTTTTTATGAAAATTAACATGAATCTGGAGGCATGCTGCTTTAAAGCCATGCCATTTTGTTTACAACTTATATATAATTTATATTTCATTAAATAAGATCCGACAAAAGACACTGTCTGGTCTGACTGTATTTTGCTACCAGATGATAATTCTATTTTGTTTCATATCAATTTTTCTTAAATCAGTAATGTAAAATCTGCATGTGTTGTAGAAATATTGTAAATATTCATATTTTCATAGACGCATTAAATGAATACAAAAGAGTTGTCAGGAAGGGGAAATTCTAATTATAGTAAGACAACAATGCCTCTATATTTTTAGTCACACGTGCATTTATTTGTACTGTTTATAAAGAAGATGTGGACAACGTTTAAATTAGAGTACTTTTTAATGTGTTCAAGGGGCGTTTGCCTCGGAATGTTTGCATTCGGGGGTTTCATTTAAATGTTGTTTGAAGTTCTATTAAATCAAGCGATCGCTTTTATTGAAAATCTGTCAAATAGACCATCGACTTTCTGCAAATATTAAGCTGTAAAAACCAAATTATTCAGTCTGGAACTATGTTGAGTGCGGTACATAGTTGTCGCTTGGCAATACGGGTCTTATAATTGAAATAATAAGCTTCTGCATGGTCAATTAATGTACAGCTTTCCACATCACAAATTCTTCATCAAGCGGGTGATTTCAATGAAGGATAAATGCCGAAGCACGGTTTCTGAGAAACGCGTATGAATATTAGACGCATCCGCTCAATATGGCGGCATCATTTTGCGGCAGAAATGTTCATTGAAGACCATTTATCTTTATGTTTGTCGAGGAACTTGGCATTTTGGTCGGAATAAAGACGTAATTACGCACAGAAACTGAATTATATTAAATGGAATGGTCTTATTTGGTGTTCATAAGGAAGACTGTATTGCAAATCGTGACAATGGATGAGCCGTAGAAAAGAAGATAATGAAATCACGATTGACGTTTTATTGAAATTCTGATGACAAAATACATAATAGCCCAAACAATCAGCGCTCGTATCACTATATGGCCATACTTTTTATCAGAATTTTTTTCCTGAAGACATTTGCAAGAATTCCGGAAATAATTGTGTAAAGATTTTATGGGTTGATGGTAAAACAGAGATTTAGGAAAAGATGAGATTAAAATAATCCCCCTGTATGTGCACTTGGGCCTTTCTACTTGCACGCGGACCGGTCTAACTAGACAATAAAACGCCTAGGCCATAAAAGAAAAAAATCCTAAAACCATGAGCTGACACATTTTCAAATGAATACCTATTACATTCCGCACTGCAATGGCTTGCATATAGTCGATCTTCACATTAGCCAAGATGCAGACCCATAGAGTATTTACCCATTCCATTTTATCAAAGTTTAAGTTGTTGCAATTAAAGTTCAATTGAACCTGCCAACGTTTCAACATTGAATTTTAGAAAAGATAAAAAAAAGTCGTTTAAACCTGATTACTTGTTGAATTTTGATAAAGATTTTCGCTTCTAATGATTAATTTTATAAATGTTTAATGTTGGATCTCGTCTATTCCGAATAGAAAAACACTTCAAAAATCAAAAATGTTCCAAGACTTCATAAAAATTATTTTACAAGGCTTTAAACGAGATAGGCAAGATCATCTACATGTATGTATGTATTGCAGAGGAAGCTAACATTAAAGTACAATGATTTCTGACAGATGTGTGGCTGGTCGGAGTCCTACATGCCCAACCGACCAATAGAGGGTTTTTTCTCCCAGGATCATGGTCATTTTACGAAATTGTATATTTAATTAATAAATAAATGTATGTTCATCATTAAACATTCCTTTTAGAAATCTGTTAAGAATGAGAATATGCTGTTTATGGTTTTATTTGATGTGTATAAATTTCCAGAAATTGACATGTACCTGAAGTTAAGAGTTACTCTCCCACATATGGTGATTTGAACTGTTCTAAACAATTGTACCATTAACTACCGCATGTTCATACAATACCAGATTACTTTAATCCTCCTAGAATTTCAAATCGTCGCAATGTTTCATTTTGGAGTATTTGAGCCGTGTCATGACAAAACCAACGTAATGCGTTTGCGACCAGCATGGATCCAGACCAGCCTGCGCATCCGCGCAGTCTGATCAGGATCCATGCTGTTCGCTTACCAACTCTATTACAAGTAGAGAAACTAATAGCGAACATCATGGATCCTGATCAGACTGCGCGGATGCGCAGGCTGGTCTGGATCTATGCTGGTCGCAAACCCACTATGTTGGTTTTGTCTTGACACGGCTCATTTTATCTTATACTGCATGTAATGTAATAATTTGGTTCACCATATACGTAAGCAGCGTAACAACCAAAGTTATTACTTGTTAGTTGTCAAATAATTAAAAGTGTTATTATAGCTTGTGACGCACTTTAACACTCCAACGTAACAAGAATGAGTAGACAGGGCGAAAATGCATGTTAAATATTGTTACACAAAGCCTGTGTAATTCTTGATATTTACTTGTAATTACACACACACCTACTTGAGATCATTATAGAAAGTCACTATTCAAGGTCCATAACTGTTGCTTGTATTTTGACAGTATCATGGCCCTTTGTGAACTTCGAAAATTGCTAGTTTTAAGTTTTGCATTCCTCATGAAACTAAATATATATCCAAGCGATCATAACTGGGGTTCGCTATCCAAGGCACATTACTCTGAATTTTGACTGAATTATGGACCTTTGGGAAATTAGAAAATAATTGGTTTAAGTTTTGCCTTGAAAACTACTAAAGATATTCACGTGATACTTAAGAGATGTCTTCAGGTTTATAACTAAAGCTGTCCGCGGCGCAAAACTGTCCCGTGGATTTTGACATACTTTTGGTCCTTTGTGAAAAATCTCGGTTAAAGTTTTGCATATCAAAACCACTAAACTACTGAATGTATCCTCTTGAAAGTTAATATATGCCTTGTTGATCATAATTGCAGGTCACTATCCATGGCCTATAACTCCTGACATGGATTTCTATGAAATTTGACTTTTTGTGATCTTACAATATTCTTGTTCAATATTCAAGACTCATACCTATATGTATTTTCTTTAATGAAATCTTCCTTATGACTGATCCCTACATTATCCAGGATCTTGTTTTACTTTAAAGCACTGGGAATAGTCGAACCCTCTGTCCTATTGAATGACATACCTTGTTTATATACATAGTATATGGTTTTATTATTTGTTTGGGTCGTCAGACCAAACAAATAATGGTAGCGAAATTTCAGACTCTAATGCTGGTAATTGCAAATGCCGAAAGTAGTCCGCTTTTTTGAAGCGGTTACTTCCCTTTATATTTAACACTAAGGCAGAAAAATTCAGTAGAGATCACTGCGTAAATATGGTCACATGACAGGCGCATTCATTTTCAAGCAAAATAATTCCCGAATGGTCGAAGATTTTTAATATTGTTTTATTCTTTATAGATATACATGCTTATAGTAAGCGCCATGATTATTTACACAAGTGTTAAACAACAGTTAGCGTCGTTACAAACCCTAATTTAGAATAATATGGTTTTCTTCAGGCCGTTATCAATTCACCGTGGCCGAGGGGTTTGCGCGCTTGCTTCGGTAGCGAGAGGTCTGGAGTTCAAATCCCAGTTAAGGCAACTCATTTTTTTTCAAATTGTTTAAGTCAAATAAACATTGGATTGAATATCAGTGTTGCAATTAGTCTTATAGCCAATCTACTACAATTAAAACGCTGGAAAGCATTAGTGGCACTATACAAAAACAAATTGTTTTATAATGTCACAACCTTCACCTTTCTGACATTCTGAGACCCAAACAAATTCAGCGCCTTCTGTGCTTTGATTTTAGATATCGTTTTCGAATTTTATCAATACTGGTCTGTCTACTTTCTGCAAAGGATTTCAATAAAATCATTAAGTCCTAACGGATTATCATTTCCAAAGGGGAATTTGTATGTTTTCGACTTTTTGAACAAGTACAAATGTATAGTGGTTTGTTCAATTTTTGTATTTTACTTAAATGATAAAAATTATAATTTAATGTTAGCAACAATGAAAAAGATCTTTAAAATGTAAAATGATTCGCATGGAATTTCGGATGTGCTCTCGCCATCAGCATGAGCATACATCAGACGGGCCATCTAAAGTTGTGCCAAATTTCTTACATACTTGTTTATATAATATGTAAGAAGTTTGTCGAAAATCACACTATTGGTTTAAAATGTAACACTTTATTTCATTTGTAATAGCATCTGCGGACGAATTGAATTGGCCCGTGCGTAAGAGAAGCGAGCGGAGCAATCATGGACGCTACCGAAGTTGAATGAGGTCCTGACACAGGACCGGATGGACATTTGACATAAATATTAACGTAAAAGTTATGTGACGTCTTAAGTATAGAGGTATGGTTTGAAGATGTATATATCGCTTTCATTACTAATATATTCAGTAATAATGTGATAAAATAATCGTATGATATGGGTAATAGCTTTTTCGTCATGGCTTTTGCGATTTTTTATCTTTTACAATCATGTATTTTTATTTTTCATAGATTTTGTACCTTTTCGTTAAGTGACATTGAAATGTACAGGCAAGACGTATGAAATGTAGATATAAATGATATATATAATTATGTTGTACATTTTAAAATGACAGCGATTCTCCAATAACCCTAATATATGTGCCGATAGAAGAGTCTTTCAGTGTTTAACGAATGTAGAAGTATTTTTATATTAAGTGGTTTTTTATAATATAAAATGTACGAAAATGATATTATCTAAATCTGGTATTTTTATGAAACGCTGAACATGATTTCTTGCCTGCAATTGATTTCTTTATACATGTTATAGCTCAGACTTATTTGAAAGACATTTAACTATTTTGTTACGCGCATATATGGATATTGTTGTTGTTTGGCCTATGCAAGAGGAATCAAGATAAGAGACGTGCCTTCTCTATGGGTTACTTTGGGGGGGGGGCAAAAATGAAAAGAATTACACCTTGTATTTGAATATTTTTTATTCACAACATAAGAAATTCAATGCAACATAAAATGTGTATTGTCAGTGAAAATATTTTTGAAAATTAAAATGTCACTGTGTCACACCAACCACTTTTATCAAATATAATCTGCTATGAACAAATACAGAAAACATCTGATTCATAGCACAGTAAAATATAAGAAAAAAATCACAGGGATTAATAAACCACTTATAATAGTATAATGAAAACAGCATCATATGATCTAGAATTGTTAATTAACAGTACTATAAGCTGTTTTGTGTAATCTGGGCTGAGTCACGTGGTCAAACGAAATGTCACAAGCAGTGTCTACAATTTTGTTCAACACAAAAGTTTAAAGGTTTCCTTTTAGCTTTTTAATTGATTGACTAGGATTAATGTTCTGCACAGTGGTCAGACATCCACTCTCCATTTACTGGCACCGACTAAACATTATTTCAACAATAACGCCAAATTCATAATAATAGTTTATAGCGTATTTATGGATTATTTTAGGGCGCCTCAATATTTATTGAGTTGTACGAGATTCTCGCGGACTTTGGAACGGATCTGTCAAAGAGTCCACGTGACTTCTACCTCCACCAATCATTTGTCTTTCTTCCTCGCTCTCGGAGTCACTACCTGACTCGACCTGGCGGTAAATGTCTATGGAATTAAGTTTGGCTTTTTGTTGTTCTAAATGTTGTTTCCTCCATTTGATACGTCTGTTTTGAAACCAAACTTTTACTTGGGCCTCTGTCAGGTTTAGTGAAGTCGCTAAGTAATATCTGAAGAAGAAACAAGCAATATCTTTTAGAAAACCAATTAGACACATTTAAAAAAAAGTCAAGATATGATGATGTTATAATGCCGGAATATCTGTGTTTTACTTTCATTTTCACAAGACATAATGAAGATAAAGGTATATTACCTTCAATAACAATAAAGGAATATGGTATATATGCAGTGCTCTAAGATGAAATTTGCTCTCAAAGGTTACCTTATATCACAGTGAGCCTTCTCATAAAATATTACGGTAAAGAAAAAGTGTTAAATATTATTTATTTTATACAATTTCTGACTATCGATAGTTTAAAGACCTTGTATAGGTTTGAAACTTATTCAAAGTGTAAAAAATCGCAGCAAGTAAAATTATTTACTGAAATCATCGGGTATTTTCCAGTAACGCCATATTATCAAATTATCATTACATACCTTTCTGTTCCGACCATATATTGCTGTCGCTCGAATTCTGCCTCCATCCGTTCTAATTGTTCTGGTGTGAAAATGGTTCGAACGCGCTTCCCCTTTGCTTGCTTGCTCCATGACTGACAACTTGGACTAGATTTTTTCTCGCTTTTGTCGACTCCTAGAATAAAAGTGCATTGTTATTACTTATTAAGCATTTTTGTCATGTATTATAACAAAACGGAACAGAACATATATTTTATTAGATTTGTACCAAAGGTACATTATCGTAACATATTAACAAACATTTGGTATAATACAGTCACATGATAAACCAGTGTTTATAAGTACCGAATCGCAATAACATATACATTAAGTAACATATTTAATACAATTACATGACAATTTTAACATACAATATTCATCATTGTCTGTTCTAAGAGGACGGGCTTAAATACGTGTAGCAGATGCTCTTAAAGTCATAGCGCGTTAATATATAGCTTTTGTAAGCATTGTTCTTTTATAATTTTTTAATAGTTCTTTAAATTTAAACATGATTGACTAAACATAATAGTACATTTTTACATTTGCATTAATTTGTTGCATGCGATCTTGCTCTTGAGATGTTATTTTACATTAACCGAAGTTATCAAATGGTCTTTTATATCTTTGTCATTTCATACACATTTGTATTTATTCTACTGCAAAAAAATGCGCATACGAATTGACAATCCCTCTTTAAAGGTTGCTAACACGTGGCCTCGTCAAAGTATTTTTTCATTAATTTGACCTTCATTAAACATTTGACAAACAGATGTTGCAAATTATAATTAATTGTAACACAAAGTTTCTGTTGTACATTTTAATAGCAAAAAGTTCAAGTACATTGTCTGCTAAATTTAATGGTACCCTTTATGACGTAATTAATTCATTACTAATCAGACAACCTCTTCACTTCTTTTTTAATTTATTGAGTAAATAAAATGTAATAAAATCGGTTTAAGCTGCAAAAGTGAAATTATAGTGAAAAGTAATTGGTAACAAAAAGTATATTTGATTTAACATAATGTAGCAATTTTTTGCTTTTCTTTAAACGGCTTCCAATTAATTTCGGTTCAATTTCATTCCAGCTCAAATATACGATTAAAATTTGCGCTCTTAGTGACATAATGAAATTAGAGAAATTAGTCTGAACATTTCTATGTAAGAGATAGAATTATAATGCCTTTACGGTCGTTTAAGTGTAATTAGTCAGTATCACAGACGGCCTTTTCTCACGATTAACATACTAGTCATTATAGTTTGTGAAAAATATTTTAATTATTTGAAAATGTTTACATTAGCGCGTATAATGTTTACATTTTTAGGGCCCTATAGAAAAAGTATGCTCAATTTACTGAAATGGCATGTTAATTTTGATCGGAGAATAAAAAAGAAATCTCATCCATTATGTCCGAGAGCTTCCGATTTTTTGTGATATTGAAATATTGGTAGTAAGGGAAGAGAGCTTCAACCACTACCTAGTGACGAAATTATGAAATAGTTTTCATTCTCTATGAGCTTGCTGTTTTTGGTCTTTTCGATAAGATCACATTGCTCTTAATTTATTAAAAATATTTTAAATATCCAAAGTTAAATTTGTTTTAAGTTATATATGAAGACAGTTAAAATGACACAGAATATAGTGTTTTATCTAAGGTAAACGTTCTGTAGATTGTACAAACACCTGCTAATTTTCCCCCTTTTTTCAAGTGTTGTCCTTTTTACATTATGAAACCCTTTGATAGACAATTCGACTTAAAACCCAAAACGTCTGTTTCTGTCCAACAAATGTGCATAAAGAGCATAAAAAGAGCTTTCGTGTGCTTGGGAGATGTGAAATTTAAAGAAAGGGTGGTGCACCGTGAAAATTGGTTTTGTGACAAAATGCTCATGTTTTCTTTCCTATTTCATTTCATTTTCATTTCCTATATATAAAATAATAATTATTGATTTAAAAAAACCCAGAAACGGCTAGTTTTAATTCAAACAGGTATTGTGTGTGTACAAAGCAAGAAATTCTATTCTATATAAGTTTATATATAAATATATATTTATATGTGTGTATAATTAATACTTATTCCCTTGTCTAGTATATACTAACTATAAACTTATTTAAGACAAACCATATAGTTCGCCAAAGGAGAAAAATTCTATAAGTCTTTCATTCTCATCCTTTTCCATTGTGTAAAAATATTTTGTTTGTTATATAATTGTATGTACATTATATATACTTTCGGGAATAAATATGTTTAAACCAAGCAAGAAATTCAAGTTAGCTTTATCTTTTTCATGGACAATAATAAATTTCATAAGAGACGGAATACACAACAGTACATACCGAACAGGCGAATACACTTAAGTGACATACAAAGGCACATTACTGATTATATATTTTTTTACTATATGTTTCACAATTCAATGCAAGCAAGCATGTATTTTATCAGCGAGTAATCCTTCTTGAGAAAATCAAGATAATAAACTTTAACAGTCACTTATTTTTCACCATTATTTGAACGTCACAAATCGGAAAATGTCAGACATAATAGAAAATATTATCTTTTATTCTTCACATGCATTTTCAGATTTGTTATTGTACGGAAGAAATTCAAAGAATATAAAAGAAAATAATTTATACATAAATAATGCGATATATAAAGAGGCTATGATAACAAATTACCCCTTACTTTCAATGTACTATTCAGATAGCTAGCCAGATTGTGCAAAATTTGTACATTCTTTGATTTTATTCAATATTTTATCCGGCAAAACATACAATAAAGGTTCATCGCCAATATAACATATTTACAATGGCGGTACAAATACTAAGACTTAAAGACTACAAGACTACATATTATTGCGCGGAGTTCACGATTTTTTTTTTTTTATTGAACTTTAAATTTGAATTTCTCTTATTAAAAGTAATAATTTTATTTTTTATATTTTATATAGAGTGACTGTCGATTAAAGGAAGAAAATAGACATGCTGATTCTATTTCAACTAGATTGTACATTATGAGATTTAGCAATGTATAAATAATTTTTAGGTGTTGGCATAATTCGTCGATTTAGTCTTTGAAATGGTTAATAAACCCATAGTGAATACGATTCAATGAAATGAACAAGTTAAAATGGTACAAATTATACTGTATTCAAATTTTGCGTGAATAGAAACGCCCATTCAAAAACGTTATTATACAAAATTAGAATTGGGTTCAATTTGCATTGAATCTTCTTTTATGAAAAGCAACAATACTAAAGTAGTCTTCAAATAAAATGAAGGGCCCTTTTAACTCTATTAAATATTAATATAATAAGGGTGACTAAGGTTTACGAAAATTATCAATATTAATATTTGAGTATTGTAATTAGTTAATATATTTCAAAAAAGTGGCATTTTTCATAAAAGGCGAAAATTATGGGGTGGAAAAGAGTGCCATTATGAGTTTTGAATACCAAAAGGTAATAAAGCTTTTAACTTTTGTCAATTTCTCATAATATAAATGAAAGGTCTATTTATTTTTACCGCAAAATCTGATGAGGCACAGAAAAAAATAATACACACAAGATAAAGCGCTTAATGGAAGCATTTCCGGAAAGTAGTTCCGTTGTATTCCTACATCTGAAAGAAGAACGCTTACGTGTGAATTTCAAACGCCCATCCAATTAAAGTATTCGGTAAATTTGGTGCTACATTAACGCATTTTTGTAATGCTGTCGGAATGTACTATATAGTTATAAAGAGTAATCGATGTTTGTGGATATTATATGACGTCAATATATAGAAACAGTCTTTAATTCCTGAAAATGTCATTTTCATTTAGTCCTGACCCTCCCTTGATAGACGAAATGAAACGGAATCTTCTAATACATACATTTCTTGACATGATTTGTAAGCTTTAACAGAATATCGGAATATATATAAATAAAGCTTACAAACCATGTCAAGAAATAGATAAGCATATCGACTTTTTCCCTTACATCATATTCCGAGGCGCTTAAAAAAGAGAAAAAGAGAGAAAATAAAATCTAGATCTTCGGCGAAATGTAAAAGGTATTGCTATACAAGTATTGATATTTATTCATTATTCGCATAAGAAAGCATTTTCATAATAAGTTTATTACTGTATATTATGGAAACAGTAACTTTGTAAATAAATCATAAACAGCGATTGACAGTTTCATATCTAACTGATGAAATATAGTATTTCATTGTGTTGCATGATTATAATATTGCACACGATTATTCTTTATACTCGTACTTCACTTCTTTTTTGTTAATTTCTTTCTATTAATGCAGTATTGATACTATAATGTAATATGGAATTTAAATACCAATAAAGGTAAAATATGTTGTAGATTACATGAGAAAAGCCAGTGTAACAATGATGATGATGATGATGATGATGATGATGATGATGATGATGATGATGATGATGATGATGATGACTATCACATGATCATTATCATCATTATGTTAACTACTATTTTATTATTGTTTCGTGTTTGGCTTCACGCAAATATAACGTAACAAAGTAATTTGCTATTCGTGATTTGTCTAAATATACAACTGTTTGCATATATCCTAAAACATATATTATTTTGTTTAATACTCAATCACTAATCATATGTTATACTACCTAGTTTAATCACATGTGGCTTCATTTTGAAACTGCATTACACAGGCTGAATAAAGTGATTGTGGATTTAATTATCTATTTTATAATTTTACCTTTAAAGCAAATTTATCTAGACCAAAATTAATTTATTATGTTCATAGCACATATTTTTCAAAAATAAAATCATATAATTGAAAAGGAAATTTTGCAAGATTTAAATCATAAGTTTATTGATAACTCAACGGCATCTTCTGAAAAAATGTATACTTTTATGGTTTGAGTCCGTATACATGTATAATTATACGATAACTCATATAAACGAACTTAATAATAATAATAATAATAATAATAATAATAATAATAATAATAATAATAATAATAATAATTATAATAATAATAATAATAATTATTATTATTATTATTATTATTATTATTATTATAATTATTATTATTATTATTATTATTATTATTATTATTATTATTATTATTATTATTATAAATCTACATAGGTATAACAAGGACACAATAGTATTCGTCTTCTATATCTTCGCTTTGACAAAATACAAGATCGTCTATCCCTTTTATACAACATGTTATGAGTGCAATGGTCTACTTATAATAACCGAGTGGCGTGAAAAATGTAAACAAGAAAATAAAATGTTGAAAATTAAAAATATATAAAAGTTTCTAATAAAACAGGGATTAGTGTAAAAAACTGAAGATACGATTTTAGTAAACAATGAGCTCATCCGTTTTGATTTGTGTTTTATTGAGAACAAGTTGTGTTTATAAATGCTTTATTGTACACTAGGAATATGATTTTAATAAAAAATATGATCTGCCTTTGTTAAGAATTCATGAATTTCTTAACTGTAGATATACCGAAGTTGAAAACTTCTGGAAACATCATTAGATAGTTAATGTAATGATCACATCAAAGTTTGTTTATCAACATATCATTATCATAAAAATGCTACAATTTGATTTAATAATTGCAAGTATTTTTTTTTATCAAATATCAAGCTATAAAATAATTAAGTATCTTTAAACCATTTCTGAGAAATTAAACTGGAGATTTCACTTTCACAAGACCCTCTACAGCAGGTGATTCTTTGGTGGGCTAAATTAAAACAGTAATAACATGGAATAAGAACTTTTTTTGCAATTTTAATTATAAGTGTCAAAGTATTTATTGCTAATTTTCGTTTCTGTGTATATATTAAGCTGATACGTTTGTGATTATATATGCTAACACGTTCTCTGGAAAACCTGCCTCCCTCTGATCTGGTGAGTCTCAACGAAACAACCGTGTTTATAAAGTCAGTAAATTGAAATCGCGGAAAGTCGTGTGATTGTACGTAATATAACCTACCAGTTACTTTCGGTTAATTCAGTGCTAGCACATTATATAACATGTTAGATTTACGTGTTGAAAGACTCGAGAAAGATCCATGTTCCGTAATTAGAAAGCACTTTGTTCCACGTCTTCGTGGAAAAATAAACCTCATAGAAATCCGGATTTTCACTTGACATTATTTGATGTTAAAAAAACTTACATCTTTTTTTTAAAAGAGTGGTTTCAAGCTTCACAATGTTACGGTCTCGAAGTATCTTTCGTTGAATTTTGTCATCATGCATGTGGTAGTTTTATACGTTACATAATAGATCGTCAAACATTTGCATGAACTAAATACACAGTGAGAATTTAAGAAGTTAGGAATAAGTTTTGTATCACATTTTATCTTAGATTTTGTATGGAAAAGAACTTTAGTACATGCCACAATTAATAGATTACACTTGTATAACGATGACATTCATTGGGTGGGACAGAGAGTGCAAAATCTACAAAGTCTGGCTTAGCTTGTATTTCATTTTCATATTCCTTCAATATTGAAGACTAATAACATGTGGTCAATTTAAAGTCTGTATTTATGTTCTAATACTTTTTATAAACGTATTTTAACATACTATATTCAAAGCAATGTTACCGACATGTAATTTTAGAGTCAGTCTTAAATGTTTCTGCAAAATAATTCTTAATTCGTTAGCACCATTCTTCAAGGTACAATAAATATTACAAGAAAATACAATAATTCCATTTTAACTTACTATTAAGATCTATGTCAGATTTGTATTTAAAATAAAATCATGATTTTATAAGCCTTAAAGGGCAAAGAAAGATAACACAAATGTTCCATCAATGCAATATGTTAAGCCTACTTTAGATATACATGTTTTTTGTTGTTGTTTTTTTTTTTTTAATTCTTTCTTAATGTCATTTTTATCAATTATGCAAGATTGAAAGATAAAATTTTCATATTGTGCTATAACCCGTTCGGAGACGGTATTTTAATTCCGGACTTTTCTTCAAGAGGACTCAATGCGTGCGGGGATATTCTTTTGACATAGTTTCTTTTTAAATTAAATTATACCTTATAAGTGACTAATCCTGTACCTTTGTCAGATTTTGGTTTGGTTATATCAAATGAGTACAATGTGTATATGTTAGATTTAAATCAGTGAAATTCAAAACTTCAACATAGTTTCTTTCTTTGTTTAATTGTTAAATTATAATAAATTATTCATTTAATGAATTTTTTTCTTTGCAAAAACTTTACCCCTGGTCAAATCATTTAATACAGATATAACAGAACCAAGGGGAATTAATGCAAATCATTTAAACAGATTTTACAGAACGTGTCTATTAGAACAGGAACGAATCAAATATTGTTTGCACGTGCTCCAATGAAAAGATGTTTATTGGCTTGTAGAAAAGGCATTAATTATACTGTTGAAGAAAAGAAGAAAATGCGGGAAAAAAATCATCAAAAATAAGGCAAATACAAATCATTATTAATTCATAAATTGATATTTGGACGATTTAATTTAGGAAAATTAACTGTTTACACGAGGAAACAGGGATATCGCCTACCTGGTGTCCTGGGAGATTCGTTCATCTGTCTGTATGCAGGTGACAAATGTGTTGCCTGCTGCGAGTGTTGTACATGCTGATGAAGATCTTGCACAGCGTTCGCGTGACCCAGATATGGATGTGCTGCTTCAAATAGACGCTGGTGTCGTCTGTGAAAACTTGAATCGTGAATTTTGTCATTTTCAAGATAACTATGAGTGATTTTCTTAAAATTTTCTGTAGAATTTTCTGAACTTGTAGAATCTGGTCTTTTGTCTTTGCTTAAAATAGCGTCTATAGAAAATTTGTCACTAGATTTTTGCGGCGGTGATGACGATAACGACACTGGTGTCGTCTGTGCTGTTACCGGTGTAACATATGGTAATGTAGGAATTGATCTGTACGCAGACGACAAAAATGCTGGGTGTACAGACAAGTCATACGATTTCAAAGAATATGCCAGAGGCCAGAAAGAATTAGCCATGGCTAACATCTGAGCAGAATTTGAATGCATTTCACTTTTTATCTGTCACAAAAATAAACGAATATATCACTTTAACACCGCAGAATTTTAGTTTCGTGCTCACATCAACACTTCAACGTGGTTCCTTAAAAGTTCATGATTTTTGTATTTTGTTTTTTTTTCTTGTGAAGAAACGTGTAATATATGTTAACTAGCGTCACAACAAAAGTTTTCCCGTACTGTTTAAGATATTCAAATCTCTAATAATTCCAGTCACGAAAAGAGGTATCTCATTAATGGACCTTTTCGTGGTCATTAGCCGTTTATATACCCAGCGCGTGCAGTGTCTTCTAACACCTCGATATTGTCACTTTTTTCTGCTCATCCCCCCTACTTGACACTGATTCGATTAACCGATCTTTACAAATTATTTCATTGATAATTGCAATATTGTAGCATGATAGTAATCTAATCGCGTTAAAACCTTTTACCATCCCATTATACCATTCATTTTCGACTCCTCCCGGCCATTTTATGCCATCTTCAATTAAACGTAATACAACGAATCTCATTGGCGCGCGTCACTGTAGGCGGACCAATAGGAAATAGGCGTTCAAGATCTCTACGAAGACTTGGTGTAACAAGCTAATGCGCGTGTTATCATTTTTTTGAATTTATATTATAAAAATGTATATTTATATACATTTGAATTGAATATCTTTTATCTTTTCTTTACGGATATATTTTCAGTTTGTAAGAAGATTTCATATCATGACAAAATATAATTAATTAGCTAAACTTGGTGAATGTTGAAAGAAACAAAATTACGTGCTCTAAATCATGAAATATCAAACTGGATACTAAATGAATATATGTAAAATCAACGTAAAATGTTAATCACTTTTATATTGTTTATCATAATAAAAAACAAGTATTTAGTCAAGACTGTAACGTACAATTTTAGGGCGTTTCAGCTTTGATAAAAGCGAATATTAAACTTTAAACCAAGTTTCTTTTTTGACCTTATTTAACAATATACAATGAACACATAAGTTCTAAAAATAAGAAATAAAATTCTTAAATACATATACAGTAATGTATATGTACATAATAAAAAAAACAAATACACTAATATGGTACGCCTTAGGGGAATTTGAAATGTACAGTTCTAATATTTAAGGAATTTTAAATTACTTGCAAATTGTTATTGTCAATTTGTGGATAATGTAAGATCTAAATGATAAGTCTTATCTAATTGGTCAAATTTTAAAATTGAAATTATTCTGACACTGACATGTTTAAACGGTACATTAAATATACATATTTAGAAATAGCTGGCATTATGATGAATATTCATATTCAATTTGCATATATTAAAGTTATTTTAAAGTATATCATATCAGGGTCTTTCAATTCTATTTAAAAGACCCTGATCATATATAGTTATGAGTCAGTTTTAATATGTGTGTCTATTTTGCAAAGTATAATAAGGTGTCAGCGTTTCCACCATATATTGCCTTATCTGTGCTTCTCACACTGCTAGAATATATTTGCAAGAACTGTTTATCCAGTTGAAAAAATCAATCAAATGTAGCAAATGTAAAGTAAAATGGGACCAAACTTCTACAAACATTAAATGTTTTCAGGCTTAGGTTTCATGTCAGTGAATCACAGACAATTGCTTAAAATGACATGCTTTTGGTGTTTTTGGTATTTTTACATTTTTTGATGATTCCTAATTTATTCCATTCTAACTATGTGCCACTTATGAAAATGATATATAGAACATTTATAGGTTCATGTTATTTTAGGATTATTTTTTGTACCCCTATTTCTTTAAAAGTGAAATAATTATTCACATTTAAGAATGTATATACATGAATGTAGGTATACAATATTTTTATCACATTGTAGTATCATACATATTTGATATGGATACTGATTTATTTATTTAACATAATACAAATTGGCTATCAAATAATGCCAAATAAAAAGAACAATGCACAAGTGCAGTTAGGAAGTTGCACTTGTTAAGCATTTTCTGAATACAAGTTATACGAACATATCATCTTCACGTTAAAGTGAATTGGTTGATAATGGGAGGTCTGTAATAAAATAAATAAGTATGATGATAGTATTTAATACCAGATCTAATACCAAATTATTCAAAATATTAATAAATGTTGTTTGAAAGTGTTAGATACATGAATCGATAATAAAATGTTCTAAACCAATAAAAAATATTATTATTTATCATATAAAATTCCTTACTAAATCACTTAAAACTTTATTAACGTATTTCTTTTAAATAATATTTAATAAGAATTTCATAATTTCCATTTCTTTCATCAATATTTGAAATTCTTATGGAGAATGTGCCCATTATAGACCAATCCACTTTAATGATCAAACTATTTTTAGATCCAGGGCAGTTGCTATGTCCGTGCAACCTAAATAGTCTCCTCACTAATATCTGCTAAATTTTATCATTTTGCCATTCATCACACTCACCATGAAAGATTCGAGAAAACCCGATCCTCAAGAATACTGCAGAAGAAAGGGTAACACCGTCATTTAATGAGTGAATACGGCTGACAAAGTACTGGTACAATATAGGCATTTTGCGTTTAAGGAGTGATAAAATATACTTTATGATATTATGTGATAACTTCAGAAAATGCATGTGAGATATTATGTACTTAATCACAATGATAATAATCTTTGAAGTATGTGCTCAAGGTGGACAGCACATGGGGTTATAGATACAAATATAGGGCAAAATGCTAAATACAAAACAAAATGCAGTACATGACAACTACTAAACAGATATTTACGCCTGAACTAAATAACACAAAGTGACATCTGATAACATACAAATATATCTAAAATCATTTTTTCATTGAGCTATTACATAGCTAAAATAGTATTACCATTTTTGACAAGAAACCGTTTTGTCGCCTTCCAATAAAAATAGGAAGATGGCAAAATTTAAATGCTCAAGAGCGTAAACGTAATATTTGTAGCGATATTGGCGATGAATTTCATTATCTTTTTAAGTCCAGAATATGAAAATAGTAGGTAAATTATATAAATAGATAACTAGTACAGCAATAGACCTAGTATGTTCAAATTTTAAGTCTTCTCAAATTTGAAAATACAGATAAAGAATCTTTTGCATGTTTTGTATTAAACTAATGCAACATTTTAAAACCTGATTTGTATAACTTGATAATTTAAGACAATGTATCTTTACATTTTCGTGTGTCAGATATTAGATATGACATTTTGTAAACTCACTGAATATTAGCTTAAATGTTTAAGTTTCATAGAAATAAAAATTTCTGACTTACACGTAGAATTATACAGCTTAATTTGTATGCGTAATTTATCTTAGATGAATATGAATGTGACTTTAATAAACAAATATGTTGAAAATTTTTAAAACTCTAAATTTACTGTTATTTTCAAAAAGGAAAATGAACATCAAATGATATGCCTAAGCTTAAGTGACAAAACCCTTTATTTTTACGCAGATTTTTTTTAAGGCATGTGCTATGGTTACATATAGACATATGCATTATGAAAACCGTATAATAGAATGTTTTCATGAATATGATAACAGATACATCTTAAACGAAAACATTTGGGGTCACAGATCTCGTTTTCGAGTTATCTGCTTTTAATTGAATTCTAAATTTCTTAGTAAAATGCCTCCTTTCTATAATCACTACTTTAGTCTTTGAAACATTAACTTTCATTTTACAAGTTTTACAATAATCATTAAATAGATTTCAGACTGTTGTGGTTCATCAGTTAATGTCTAAATGCAACTCTTGCATACGCGTTTAAAACTCCTACTGTTTAGTATGTTTATATATCTGAACATTTTTGTTTTTTTCATTATCTTGCAGATAAATAGAAAAATGAATATACATGAATATATTTATTCTTCCGCAGAGTGGATATGAATTATTTGTGATAAAGTATTTTCACATTGTTCACGGTAAATAATGATAAATTTCTTAAAGTATATTCTTTCGAAACAATGGTGCTGCAAAAGCATAAAAATAAAAAATATTAAAAATATAAAAAAAAAATGAAATTATTTTTTACCATTTTTGCATTATTACCATCGTGAAAGCAAACAGTTGGCAGTTTTACAGTTTACATGCTAATATTTGTAAATTTAATGGAATGTATTTGCATACTTATGAGAGAATGAAAAATGCGCATGAATCTTAAAATTGAATAGGAGGTTACTCCAGATTACAAAGCAATTAAAATGAAAGAAAACAAGTTTTCTCTTCTTTTTCTGCGAGTGTTTTATTTACAAAAAAATATCATATTGGCGCAAAGTTTTTCTACGAATGTTATAGAAAGAAACATTTCAGCGTGTTTAAATAAACTTGCATTGCCATTTTCACCAGAACCACCACCAACAACAACGACGACAACAACGACGACGACGACGACGACTACTACAACAACAACAACAACAACAACAACAACACAATTTTAAATACTCGTCTTAGATTATTTCAAAGTGTACTCCTAATTTGTGTTATATATTGTCATTTATATTTAAAGTCAATTGCCATTTTTATTTCGACATTTATTCTCTGAAATAGAAGAAATAATATTTCAGATGTGAGAAGAAAGAAATTCTAAAGTAAAGAATCGCTAGATACTTCGCAAGAAGGTTACTGTATGTATAAACATTTCTATTGAAAGTTTTCCGCTAAATCATTGAATTAGACAATTACATCATAAAACATCAAATTGATATAGATAAAGAATAATAAATATCGGATCCAATCAAAGATAAAATAAACCTAAATTAACATATTTCACTTTCATACTCTAATATGTCCTAAGTCAAATATTAGCGATTATTTAACAGTGTTATAAAAGGTTATTTGTACAAAATAGTGTTAATGCTATTTTCATGTAAATTAAGAAACTATTTTATAAACGGGTTAATATCAGGTTTAAACAGTTTTAATGGTGATTTTAGATAAATTAGGAATAATTTCTGAAAGACTGACTAATTTTGATATTGATATCAAAGGAGATGACCGCCAGTTGGCGCAATTTTAGCATTTTCTTTAACAATTATCGCCGATGTATTAATGTACATCAAACGTATACAAGTCATAAAATTGTTGTTAAAATTGCAATATAAAAGTATTTTAACACTATTTTGTAGACAATGTGTTATGATACACGAAAGAAAAATGATTATCCAGCTACGAATGGTCATTAATATAACGGTCAGTGCTCTGCGTTGGCTAGTGGATTTCTGAATTTACGACCAATTTGATATGCCTTATTTATTTCGCATATACAAGAAAAATCAGTAATGACATAGTAACGTAGCTAAGGAATTAAAAGCGGGCATGTTTTTATATAGTTCTACGTACAACAACAATGTTTATATTACATTCATTTATAATAAATTCCATTGGGGTCCAAAAGCATAAAAACATAACATTTGAATTTTCCATTGATTAAGTGGGGCACTTCAACAAACAAAATTGTTTTCA